CGACATCTGGCTCCCACTCTTTCCAGCGAACACGACATCTGGCTTCCACTCTTTCCAGCGAACATGTCACCTGGCTCCCACTCTTTCCAGCGCACATGACGTGTGTCAATTACTTCAACTGAATCGGTCGATTCTTTTAATTTATTTTCTTGATCACCGATTCCAGTGCAAGGTACTGCAGGCTATTAAGGGTTCTGAATGTCGTTCGCTAAGCCTCATAGTCAATCTCTCTCTCTCTCTCTCTCTCCTCTCTCTATCCCTCTCTCTCTCTCTTCTCTCTCTATCTCTCTCTATCTCTCTCTCTATCTCTCTCGCTCTCTCTCTCTCTATCTATCTCTCTCTCTATCTCTCTCTCTCTCTATCTCTCTCTATCTCTATCTCTATCCTCTCTCTCTATCTCTCTCTCTCTCTCTCTCTCTCTCCTCTCTCTCTCTCTCTCTCTCTCTCTCTCTCTCTCTCTCTGTTTTCGTTTTCTTTTTTTATGGCTCATTATACCGATTCAATTGTTAACCTCTAAGAACTTTTCTGCTCCTTGAAGGGCTGCTTGTGAACAAACTCCTAATACGATATATTGATCGCTCGAAGTGTGCCTTTGTCACTCACCTGCCGAAGGATATATATTTTTCCCCGAACCATTCATACGTGCTTTTAAACTTACCATATTAGTTCTGTATTTGAATTTTTCTAAATACCAACTTTGACGTATTTCGTCAACCCTGCCATGTGATATATATTTCGTAAGCATTACCAGGATATATTTGATAAACTCTACCAGCAGGAGTATATTTCGTAAACCCTACCATTTAGGGGTATACTTCCTGAACCCTACTATCTATAGTATATATATTGAACCCTACTATCTGGGAGTATAATTCCTGAACCCTACCAGCGTTGTTATATTTCAAAAACTTAATACCAGGGATATATTTCGTTAACCATTACCATCTGGAGGTATATGTCGTGAACCCGACCAGCTGGGGTATATTTCGTAAGACACTATACCAGCTGAGACACCAGCATCACAATATGTTATTATAATTAGCCTGATTTTTCTTGCCTATTTTGAGTCTAGTTATTTTTACACCCTCTCTGGTAAGTCGATTATCTTAATCAATTTTGTTTTTAAGATCCTCTTAATATCTTGGCTTCCACATAGCCGTTGTCTTGATCTAGATAAAAAGGCACGAGGATGCTAAGGGGAGATGGGAAAGGAGGAGATGGGGGAGAAGGGATTGGAATAGGAAGGGGAATACAGGAATAGAGAAGTGGCTAGTGGTATTAGAGGAAGCATGACATACAAACGTGATATATGAGTTAAGGAAGGAAGATTAGTTAGAGATTAGTTAAAGGCTAAGAGACATCACTTAGGGAGAGCATATATGACTTAGCGAAAGGATATGTGACTCAGGAGTGAGGTTATGTGATTCAGGGAGGAAATATTTGAATTAGCGAGGGGTTACTTGACTTTGGGACGGGTGATAGGACTTTAGGAAATTAGATATTGCTTAGTGAAGGAATATATAACTTAGGGATGGGATATTAAAGGAGTTATAAGTTAAGGAATCTACCTTACGGGATATTCGTGCCCGACCCATCTCTTGGGTGGCTTAATCTGAATCAGTTAATCAAGGAAACTAGAGAAGCTCCAGTAGATCTAACGAGACCGCTTTTACTTACATCCCCTAAACACATCGATATATATATATATATTATATATTATATATATAGATATATATATATATATATATATATATATATATATATATATATATATATATATATATATATATATATATATAACACCTGGGCTTGAAAGCTTGCAGCGATCCCACGTCTAATATGACATCGAGTAATTTGTTCTAAATAAATTACCGCGTAACATAATAGAAATGATTCACATGCCGAGGCTCGATCCCTAATGGTCCAAGTGGTTGGGTGTAGTTTCTCCATTCCACTCTTGAATCCTTGTACTCCTTGACCTCTCAGCCCTTCCAGATGCTATATAATCACAGGACATAACATTAGACGTGATATACATAAGAGCTTAAGATATAGCTTTATATCTTGTAAAGATATATTTTATATTGATTTAAATTTTCACGTAAGGAAGAGGGTCGAATGGAATATAGAGTGATTGTAAATGACCTCAATTGGAATGCTGTAGAAGTGGTTATGGAAGGTTGAGGGGTTAAGATGGTGACAGAGCCTTGTCGAAGAAAGAATGGCTTCGGGCGAAGACAATTTGTTAAGAAGTGGTTGGGAGTTGGACATGACGATGAGGGGGAATGGTTAAGACGGGAAAGATATCGGGATTAAAGTTTGGAGATGAAAGGGGGAAAGTGGAGCTGGGAAAGGTTATGGTATCGGTTTGGGTTTTGGGAGGAAGTGTAATAAAAAATGGGAAACTGTTCATTGTATGCTATGTTCTTTATGATTTATGGTAAAACTTTAAATTTACGATATATCACTTTTTAAAACGTATGGGTTATTCTCTCTCTATCTCTCTCTCTCTCTCTCTCTTCTCTCTCTCTCTCTCTCTCTCTCTCTCTCACTCTCAGAGAACACCGCCATGTTCGTGTAAAACATGTGGTCTGAGCTACAGTGAAGCCCATTTATTACCTTAATCACAATTAATCTCTTTTTCATGACCATTACAAACAAAATCACCCCACTCTTGAGTCCACCATCTCCCTCCCTCCTCCGTCTCCTCTACCTCCCCTCTCCTCCGTCTCCTTCACCTCCTCTCTCCTCCGTCTCCTCCACCTCCCCCCTCCTCCGTCTCCTCTACCTTCTCTCCTCTCCGTCTCCTCCACCTCCTGGTTGGTGGTCTTGTCAACCAGGCTGCCCTTGACGACCTTGACGCAGTATGTCGAATGAATCACAGCCCGGTTGTTCAGGTAACCCTTGAAGGTAATCCTTGAAGGTAACCCTTGAAGGTAACCCTTGAAGGGAACCCTTGAAGGTAACCCCTGAGGGTGTTGATCACGTTCCCTGATGAACTTTATCAACACTTCATGATGCTCCTTATGTTTAGAGCGATGATGTTAATAGACGTCTTGTTTTCTTAATGTTTATGTAATTCTCTCCTGGAGTATAAAGGTACATGTAGGATACTAGTACATATAGTAAAGGTACTCCTACAGTACTAGTACATATAGTAAAGGTACTCCAACAGTATTAGTACATATAGTAAAGGTACTCCAACAGTATTAGTACATATAGTAAAGGTACTCCGACAGTATTAGTACATATAGTAAAGGTACCCCTACGGTACAAGTACATATAGTAGAGGTACTCCTACAGTATTAGTACATATAGTAAAGGTATTCCTACGGTACTAGTACATATAGTAAAGGTACTCCTACGGTACTAGTACATATAGTAAAGGTACTCCTACGGTACTAGTACATATAGTAAAGGTACTTCTTAGGTATTAGTACATATAGTAAAGGTACTTCTTGGGTACTAGTACATATAGTAAAGGTACTCCTGGTGTACTCCTACTTTTCAATAGGAATTCTTAACACATTCCGCCATGCTTCCTATTAATATTGTCCAAGTCTACACTATGAAGTGTGTCTCACGCTTGCACAACATTACAGTACAGTTTGAAGGATTATCAACCGTGCCAATAATTCGGAGGTCTTATTGAATGGACTTGGGCAGTAAAAGCTCTCTGCACGTTCTCCAGATCTGCAATTTCTGCAACTTTGAATGAGTGGGTTAGGGTGCAACAATATTCCACCGTAGAGAGCACTAGTGTCTTAAAAGTACCAATATTGGTTTGGCATCTCTAGTTTGAAAAGTTATTGTTATTCAACCTGGGATTTATTTTTGTTCAGGATTGACAGATACACATTATTGAATAGGAAGCTCTTCCATTTGTCTTTCTCTCTCTCTCTCTCTCTCCTCCTTCTCCTTCACCTCCTCCTTCTTCGTTTCCCTTCCTCTTCCGTCTGGTCCACGCCCCCTCCTCTCCATCTCCACCCAGCGCCAGAGCACTAGATCTGGAACTGAAAATGACGCATGGTTGAGTGCATCCTTTTGGCGAGGGTTTCACAGTGCCTTTTTTACTTGAAAAGAGAGTTAGTGAGAGAGAGAGAGAGAGAGAGAGAGAGAGAGAGAGAGAGAGAGAGAGAGAGAGAGAGAGAGAGAGAGAGAGAGAGAGAGAGACAGACAGACAGACAGAAGTATCTGAAGGATCCATTCCAGTTTTCTGTAAAGGCTCGCTTAAATAGAAGGAATATTTGTGCTGAAAAGAACCTTTCAAGCGTTCTTAGTGGGTAATTACTTATTATTTTCTTAAACACGGACATTAAACCATCGCAGGAGCCAGCCGGTTGAGGGAGACATGTCTTTTTGTTAAGGGGACGGGAGATAATTACGTATTTTCTATACCAGTAAACCTGTTTTGTTCTCGTATTATAATGGTCAGAGTTGGTGAGCTGAGATTGTTGATGACTGTCTCCTCGATACCTTATCAGTTTTGTTCTGAGCTCTAATACACTCTGGAACACCAGGAGGGCTTTGTGGAAAAATCTGTATGTCAATGACATGTTGACCGGTAGATTAGGTTTTCTGAATTAAAAAAATATTTGCAATATATCTATATATAATATATATATATATATATATATATATATATATATATATATATATATATATATATATATATATATATATATATATATATATATATATATATATATATATATATATATATATATATATATATGAAGTTGTAACTTGATTGAATGAAAACTGAGAGTTAAGTGAAAAGTGAAAAGCATCATCAGTGAAATCAATCTCTAGACAATCAACACTAACATCAACCCAATCATCAGTCACAACTACATCAATAAAAAAAAAAAACTAAATATCACTAGCCTCAACATATAAGCCTCCGGAACTTCAACAACAACACGAACCAAAAACAACATCAATCATAATAACATAAAGACCAACCATACATCAACTAAATACAATTACCATCCACAACCATGCACAATAACCACCTGACTCCTCCTCCTTTAGGTTCCGTTACCAAGACCAGTAACTTGGCCAACTTCTACGGAGGAGAAAACCTGTGGCCGGAGTCAGGCTGGAAGCCCTCGGAGGGGGAGAAGTCCGACGGTAAGGTGGTGAACGAGCGGAGAGCCCCGGACCGCGACCTGCTGGCCTCGCTGGCGCCTGAGTACGCCGAGATCGACTCCCTCGGCACCTTCACCGCTGGCAAGAAAGGGGACCTGGATGTGAGCGCTGAGGCGTACGCTTCTGCCTCCGTCCTAGCGGCTTGTAACAGGAAGAACAAGGTGGGTGTGTGTGTGTGTGTGTGTGTGTGTGTGTGTGTGTGTGTGTGTGTGTGTGTGTGTGTGTGTGTGTGTGTGTGTGTGTGTGTGTGTGTGTGTGTGTGTGTGTGTGTGTGTGTGTGTGTGTGTGTGTGTCTGTGTTTGTGTGTGTGTGAGCATTTGGATATCAACAAAAATGTAAAAGTTATTATAAATGAATGAAACGCTTTCTTTCCTTTCCTTTCCTTTCCACCTTTCCTCAGTTTGTAACACATCACTCAACACTCACCTAGACTCCCCCAGCTTGTAACAACTCACTAAACTCTTACTAAAACTCTCCTCAGCTTGTAACAACTCACTAAACTTTTACTAAGGCACTCCCCAGCTTGTAACAAGTCAACCAGCTTCAAACAGCCTAAACTACTCTATCCCTTTGAGATGTATTTTTTCTCTTATCTAAATAAACATACTTGAACTTGAACACATCACCATACCTCCCTCTGGTTCTCTTCCGCAGCAGCAGTCGACGGAGAAGTTCCTGTCATTGCCGCAGTGTGTGCCGCTCTTGAAGGGATCCCACCACCTCCTGCAGGGTCAGTCCCAGCAGCAGCAGCAACAGCAGCAGGAGGACTACAGCTGCAGGCTCTCCAAGGACGTACTCAACAACACAGACAACGAAGGTGAGCAGCTGCTGCTTGGTCTTGGCAAAGGGATCTGGGCTGATAGCGAGCGGATTCACGCATAGAAAAGACAACTTTTCAACTGTAAACACGAAAATAATTATATGAGAAATGTATTAACTACTTTTTTTCGTATTCTCGGAGGTCGGTGGTCAAACGACCCTGACTCTAAACCAGGGTGTATGGATGATGGCATCATCAATCATAGAGACTGTTGGTGTTTGCATCTTGCAGTCCGAAGTGTGCACCACATCCTGGGTTAAAAAAAAGATTTGATGACCAAACCACACTTCAGAAGATGGTGAAACGACGATGTTTCTGTCGTCGTTTCCCGGACCATGATCAAGCCCTGTGTTAAAGCGATATTTTTTTCCGGTGTTGAAAGCCCTTCGTGTTTATTGAGCTACGTAGTGTAAAGGATTACACTCATTTATATCAGTGGTATTAGTTTTACACAATTGTACCGTGCCTGTAAGTTTCGAATGTAAATATGTGGATAAATATGTGGGTTTGTATTCCTTCTAATTTACATTTTCCACACGTGGTTTATGATGTATATTTCTCGCCTTCGTTACGAGGAATACAAGTGGAAAGACTTTGTATGTTTTCTGTAATGTAGCGATTTCGCAAAACAGTAAGTCACAATGTGGCTCACCTGGGAAAATAAAGATATGACGTAGGGGTTCTTATTGAATTAACTCGGGCAGTAAATTTTATTTACACATGCTTCAGGTCAGAATTTCCGCCGGTGATTAAAGTTCTGAAATAAAATTACTCTCATGTTTCACTCTTATTTCTCAGAGTGAAAAAGAGAGTGTTTTCTCAGAGTGTTTCCTCCTTCTCATTTCACTTCTCACTACCCTTGTGCCAGAGGATAACGTCCCTTCAGAATCGTCTGTTCCTCCTCCTCCTCCTCCTTCATCATCTTGTCCTCCAAACAGTCACTAAGATCCATTTCAAGTAGCAACCGTTCCCTCGTGTTACCCTGATTGCTGTGAGCTTAAACTGAGTTCAAACAAAGCAAACCTAATTGAAGCTGAGTTCAAACCTTAATTGAAACAAACGAATTTATAAAACAGTCTTTGATATGTTACCTTATTTGCTTCTCTGGGTGACTATCACATCACATAGAGTCGTGTGATAGAGTGGATAACAGTCACAGATACCACAGTGACTGGTATCCACCGGTCATCAGGATACCTTACCATTGCGGTTTCCTTGTGATGATTTCGGGGCTCAACGTCCCCCGCGAACCGGTTCTCGACCAGGAATCAAGGATAGGACCCTCTTAGCTACGGACTTCCCCTTAAGGAATCTGAAATATTTTAAATGCTTGTAAACGAAACCCCATTTTTTAAATAATTATTATTATTTACCAGTTGTGTATAGTTAGGCCTAGGTAGGTTTAGGTTAAATTTGATTTTAGTTAGGTTACTATTTTGAATTTAATGTGAGCGAAGAATTTAGTTAATTTGGAGGAAACTGAAAAGTTCTTTTACATCGCATTCGATAACTATTGGCTAAATACGCGTAAAGCATTATTTATGAGTAAAAATACTGAACAATCCATCCTCATGTAATGCTCCTCCAAACTTCGCTCGACCCCCTAAGCCACTTTCTAAATTCTAAAATTATGAGCAGTATAAAACTGTATTTCTTATATGGTAAATGTTATTATTTCACTTCACGATATGGATGAGCCTCATTGGGCGTTTTTATTATGCTGGCAATAATTTTGATTTCCAAAACTTAAGTGAGCGAAGCATTGTTTGAGGAAGTGTTGCACAGGTCATGGTTATGAAGTGTGTGCAACACCGGGTCATTCTCTCGACTTGTGTTGCACAGAATCAGAAACCTGTGTTGCTGAGGTTTCTCATTCTCACGACTGTAAACCGCTCTCATGATCCGGTGTTGTAACCTTTACACTGTAATGGTTTAAAAGTGTTGTGAGGCAACACCTGTGTGTTGAGAGCATCTTAGGGTAACACTTTAATGTTGCGACCATCTTAAGGTAACACCTGAGTGTTGAGAGCACCTTAGACGAACACTTGAGTGTTAGGAGCATCTTAGCCTAACATTTGAGTGTTGAGAGCATCTTATACTAACACTTGAGTGTTGAGATAAAAGTAGGTCCCCAGGAAGGCAACTCAAGGATTTCCTAGACACTAAAAAGAATTACTATCATTATTTTATTTTTTTTTATTATTTGTAATAATAATAATATTATTATTATTATTGTTATATATTTTATTATTATTATCTATATAATTTTATTAATATTATATTATATGTATTATTATTGATATTATTTTTTAATTATTATTGATATTATCTGTCATTATCATTATTGTAATAACGAATTTATAAAAAAATTGCCTTGCTCAGAGAGCTGAAACGCCAGCAGAGATCTCCTCTGCACCCTGTAAGAGCCTCTCCTCTGCTGGCTAACGTGATAACTCGGCATTAATTTATATTATTGCTCTTATAATTCTCTCTTTGTCATGCAAATGAGCTTATAATCATAAACTTTCTCATTCCTCATTCCCACCATTGTTTTCTCCGGCCTCATAAATGAGGCTTGCACGGTTTGCTTGTAGTAAAGTTTGTTTCATGATATTTTATTGCTCTCTTTGGCTATAATGCCTCGGAAATATTAGTGTAAACATTTACATTCTGTTGTTGTTCTGGGAAATTGCCTCTGATTGGTCAGTGATGAGGCAAGTAACCTCTGATTGGCCTGTGATGAGGAAGGTTGTAAATTAGGGAAATGCTACATTAAAGTGCCAAATTCTCACCAAATAGGAAAGGAGTGTGTGTGGTTCTCTCTCTGGTCCCTGTATTATGCTGTAAGCCACATGTAAACGTGTTGAATATCAGTGATGTTCCGGCTACAGCTGTGACTCCCCGTGCACCAGAACTTGTGTTGGTGACTTGGAGCACTGCCCACACTTTGGCTTCGTGCGCTGCTCAGGCCCTGAACTTTGTTCACTGGTCAGGCCCTTTGCTTGGTTCACTGGTCAGGCTCTAAACTTGGTTCACTGGTCAGGCTCTAAACTTAGTTCACTGGTTAGGCCCTTAACTTGGTTCACTGATCAGGCCCTTAACTTGGTTCACTGGTAAGGCCCTTGACTTGGTTCACTGGTCAGGCCCTTTATTTGGTGCATAGGTCACGTCCTCAAATTGGATTACCAATCATACCCCCTCCACTGTTCACCAATCCTACCCCACTTCCAGTGGCATCCAATTATATCCCTTCACTGTACATCCCTTCGTTGAACACCATTCATGCCCCTTCACTGTGCACCAATCACACCCTCAGGCAGGGTAGAAGAGGAAAAGTGTGCGATCCACCGAAAAAAAAATCAGATAAAGACAAGAATTACTGTCACCATCCATTCCCTGTTCCTTCTTCCGCAGACAAATCAGTGACGGAATCCAAGCGACCGTTCTTCATCGAGACCTCTTCCCCGACGTTGATAGGTTCCTCGAGTCTGTCTTTCAACTGCACCGGAGCCCAGAGGATGACCTCGACCCCAAGGGGCGCCCTCAGCACCACGCTCAGCGGCCACCACCTGTCCCGTCACGCCCCTGGCAAGGGCGGGGTGTCTCCCTACAGCGTGAATCCCTTCACCTCTCAGCCTCACCTCCTGCATAAGGTGAGTCTACCGGCTGCGCTTTCAACAGTGTCCCTTGTTCCTCGTGTATGTATGTATATATATATATATATATATATATATATATATATATATATATATATATATATATATATATATATATATATATATATATATATACCTAGACGGGGTACCACCTCTGGTGCAAGTGTAGGGACCCATAGCCTCGGAGAAGAAAATAAAGAGTACTCAGAGAAGACCTTGTGGATCCTCACTGAACACTTTGATATGTTCTTCTCCTACTACCCCTATTCTTTTGGTATATATATATATATATATATATATATATATATATATATATATATATATATATATATATATATATATATATATATATATGATGTTCGTTTTTCAAATGAATTACTATCGAATGTATTACACTTATTATACAATTGCACGTTTCGAACCTACATGGTGCATTCTCAAGTGATAATAAATTACAGATCTCGTTAGATTTATACCAGAGTATATATATATATGTATATATATATATATATATATATATATATATATATATATATATATATATATATATATATATATATATATATATATATACAACCCATGTATATCTTGTAACCATCAAATGCATAATAAAGCACAAAAAATAAAAAAGGAAGGGGGTGGTAGGAGAAATACACACAGAAACTGTATTGGAGGGGATCTAAACATTCCCTCTAATGCGTTATGCGTGGTTTCCTCCGAGGCTATGGGTCCCCCTTCTTCCAGCTAGAGGTATATATATATATATATATATATATATATATATATATATATATATATATATATATATATATATATATATATATATATATATATTCTCTCTTCGTGTATTATTTAAAGGACTCGGAGAAATTTTATAAGAACTCATGAGAGCATTGTTTGAATACATCAGTTAGTTTATCTATGTCGTTCCTTTAGTATTACAATTGTGCATGGGAGCTTGTAATATACAACTGAAATACCTACTGATCATTATGTCATATTTCTCACCTGATGGGTCCAGTTGGAATACAGCCTCGACTTTTCAAAAAAAAAAAAATAGTAAACAGGGCTTAAAGTTAATTAGAATTATAGGCTCCAAATTTATTAGGAAACAAGGTTCTAAGCTGATTGTAAAACTTCAAACTGACCAATCTAATGATTGCGCTCTGGAGTGTAGTGGTCAGACACAAGCTGTGTAGAGATCTATCTTGAGATCTTGAGATGATTTCGGGGCTTTTTAGTGTCCCCGCGGCCCGGTCCTCGACCAGGCCTCCACCACCAGGAAGCAGCCCGTGACAGCTGACTAACACCCAGGTACCTATTTTACTGCTAGGTAACAGGGGCATAGGGTGAAAGAAACTCTGCCCAATGTTTCTCGCCGGCGCCTGGGATCGAACCCAGGACCACAGGATCACAAGTCCAGCGTGCTGTCCGCTCGGCCGGCCGGCTCCCGAGATACCTTCAGTGTCCACGTCGAATATATAAGCTTGATTTATCAGCATCACAATATGATTATCATATGTTTATACCGTTACTTTAACGTTGATTAAGACTTTCTTTTGTATTAGACCTATGCGACTCCCGATTAACCAACGAATCCTTTCGTTACTCTTGTTTCTCACAGGGTGTGGCCTTGACCCTACGAGACCTGGTGCCACCCCCGCCGCCACACCCTCCTCCAGGGGCCCACAGACACCGGGAGTTCTCCAGGACCAACACACTAGAGGAGGTGAGGACCGTTGATGCAAAGGGAATAGGCAAAAAGGGAATTAGCAAAAAAGGGAATTAGCAAAAAGGGAATGGGCAAAAAAGGGGGAATCCCAATATATAATGGTGAAAATGGCTCATCAGTGTGGATAATACGTTGCTTCGGAAGTTACGTTAAGCAAAGTTGGGTCTGACCAGTAAATGAATGGGTGATCTGGAGACAGTCTATGCTTTGGTTACAGGGAAACCTAGGGAAACCTAGAAAATACGCTAGATGTGAAAGGAAGTGTTTTGGATAAGAAAAATACCTAAGGAATATAGGTATAATAAATATTTATCGGAAAAGAAAGAGAGAGAGATTCGGGAACAGGATGACAGTAGAGAGAGAGAGAGAGAGAGAGAGAGAGAGAGAGAGAGAGAGAGAGAGAGGACCTAGAGAGGGCTGGCAAGAACACAGACGCTGCTGTTGGCGCTGATGGAGTGGCTAAAGAAGTGCTGGGAGTCTCAAGTGATGGAGTTCGGGGTCTCTGTGGTTTTCTTGAAGAAAGTGTAGAAAGTGTGTGATTGTGCCGGGAAGGGAGGGGGGGGGTGCGGAGGGAAGAGAGTGAGGGATGGAGAGACAGAGAGGCACGAAGTGAGATGACCAAAGAGAGAAAATTAGACAGAACTGCACAGACAGTCAGATATAGAATAGATATTTGGACAGTAAATAACGCAGAACTAAACGACTTCCCTCATACTCTCTAAGCCCATCAGAGCTTGAGACAGTTAATCACCCACACAGGAAGTGGGTACTACTTGAGTACCACCAAACAATACCATGGTTCCCAAGACCTCGGTAGACGTATACCAATATTTGTAATCTTACCATAAACTGATAATATCAACACAGTGTTCAAGGTAACTTTGTAGTCACAAAATATCTGGTGATGTTAATCGCTACATTAAATTTGCCTCAGACATTTTATTAGAAAACTTTATTAAAGTATTACTTAAATATTGTCCAATTTTATTTCTAACAAGGTTAAGGATTAAATCAATATTATTCTCAACACTGTATAATTTGCGCTGTTTCTTCCTCGCCTCTGATGTTGCGTAGTAGCCTGTTCTAATAGACCCAACAGGCTAATAGGCCTGTTCGGCCTATTAGCGCGAGGGGCTGTAGTTTCCAACTAGCTTAATGGTCAATAAGCATGTACACATTAATGCTAGTATGAGTGTATGACTCAAGTATACTCTCTGTGTATACACACCTTTGACCACCTGTCAGTTTATACTCATCATTCACTGTCTGTCAGTGTATACTCATCATTCACTGTCTGTCAGTGCATACTCATCATTCACTACCTGTCTGTGTATACTCATCATTCACTACCTGTCAGTGTATACTCATCATTCACTACCTGTCAGTGTATACTCATCATTCACTACCTGTCAGTGTATACTCATCATTCACTGCCTGTCAGTGTATACTCATCATTCACTACCTGTCAGTGTATACTCATCATTCACTACCTGTCAGTGTATACTCATCATTCACTACCTGTCAGTGTATACTCATCATTCACTGCCTGTCAGTGTATACTCATCATTCACTACCTGTCAGTGTATACTCATCATTCACTACCTGTCAGTGTATACTCATCATTCACCACCTGTCAGTGTATACTCATCATTCACCACCTGTCAGTGTATACTCATCATTCACCACCTGTCAGTGTATACTCATCATTCACCACCTGTCAGTGTATACTCATCATTCACTGCCTGTCAGTGTATACTCATCATTCACCACCTGTCAGTGTATACTCATCATTCACCACCTGTCAGTGTATACTCATCATTCACCACCTGTCAGTGTATACTCATCATTCACTACCTGTCAGTGTATACTCATCATTCACTACCTGTCAGTGTATACTCATCATTCACTACCTGTCAGTGTATACTCATCATTCACCACCTGTCAGTGTATACTCATCATTCACTACCTGTCAGTGTATACTCATCATTCACTACCTGTCAGTGTAAACACATCCTTCACTATCTAGTCTCAGGGCTTCAGTGTTAAGACACTGAAGCATCAAGCTGTCATCTCCAGTATTCGATAAACGGATCATAATCTCTTGTAATATACCATTATAAATATTTTGTGTAATTGGTAATTATATCAAAGAATTACCAGTGTAAACATTTATATATATATATATATATATATGACACGTTGTAATATGCAAACTTTTTTCAGACTTGTCTTTTTAACTTTGTGTCAATAGATTACGTCAGATGAGAGCGCCAATAGTTCCTTGTGGGAAAATGATGCAAGCTTTGCTAGTGCAATGTTGATGGCTGTTCGTGAAGGCATTATATACTTGGACTTTACTTGCACTATGCTGTGTTTTGCTCGTAGCAGCATGATTTGCTGGGTTAGAGAGGAGGGGGGGATGGGGGGTGGGGAGAGATAATTATATCTCTCAGTTCTCTGAATGTGTTGCTGACTGTACCTTGTATCTCCACAGCTGCCGTACGCCTGCTATTCCTCGACCCGGGTGGCCTCCCCGCGCCCCTCCCGTACCGCTAGCCTCGAGGGGGGCGGCTCCCCCTACGGTGGCTCCACCAACACTTACCAGAGCATCGACGGCCTCACCGACGCCCTACGTCGTGACGACGACGTTCGTTGCTGCTCCCACTCCTGCAGCCATGGCCAGTGCCATTCGCACCATGGCCATGGCCACGGCCACTCCCATGGCCGCTGCAGCACCTGCGGCTCACGCAACTCATCGTCGTCTTCGTGTCGGCGCAACAGCGGTCGCACCAGCCGTTGCGGTCACGTCAGGTCGGGCCGGACCTCGGGGGGATCAATGCACTCCTTAGCCCGGCCGTGCTGCCATGATCCTACCCGTGTTTCCCCGTATGAGTCGACGGCGCCCGCAATTCCCTCACACGCCTATCGGCCCAATTTCTACGGTTGGGCCTCGCCCCCGGGGTCCCCGGCGATGGACGACGGCAGGATGGGACCCCGACGGCAAGTGTCCCTTGACAGCGATGCTCTGCTGAGGTCCGATCAGACGCAGGTCTACGCGGCGGGAGGCTCCATCCGCTCTGATGGGGAGTACTGGTGTAGCCGCGATGCCGCCAGCGTCTACGGAGGGTCGACGCGCTCTGCCGGGGGCGAGACTGGAGTCGGATCCAGAGCCGGACCACAGGGAGTCTCCCCGGATTCCAGTGCCGTGGAGGGCGTGCCGAGTGACGCCGTGTCCTGCGGCTCCTGCGAGGACACGGAGGCCTCCTTTTACGCTTCATGTGATAAGCAGACGAAATTATAAATCCCACAGCTCGTCGACACTAAGATTAGTGATTAGCCGGAGCCGTGTTGTGCTAGCGTGAGGGATGACGCCTCTGGCGCCAGTGGGGAGAACTATAGTGTGTAGTTTCACGTGCTCAGAGAAGACTTAAGACTTTCCCTTGCTACTTAGCGTGACTCGAGGGCGTCTTGGGCGTCGCACTGCCAGTTGCCATAGCTGAGGTAATATAATTTTCGCAAGCAGTACCATAGACGTTCTTACATGGACGGCGCTGATGAGGAAGCGTGACCAAAGGAATGAAGGGCGGCGATGTCATTACCTGGAGGGACTTCAGGTGGTCCTTATCTGGCCAGATTCAACGGGAGACACACACCTGGGCTCCAGGGAGAAGCTCATTATCACCGCCCTCGTGACGATGCTCTTAGTGTGTGTGTGTGCGTGTGTGTGTGTGTGTGTGCACTCAACTAGTTGTGCTTGAAGGGGGGGGGGGGGTTGAGCTGCGGCTCTTTGGTCCCAACGAGTGGGACCAAAGTGTGTGTGTGTGTGTGTAGTCCGCAGCGGGAGGACCAAATTTCCTCTTTCTCAGTCGAGCTTTTATCTCATACTTGTTTAAAAAAAACACAGAAAACGGGAAACTAAGCGGTGGACGAGGGACTTGTCGGGTGTGAAGAGATTAGGACGCGTCCACAACTTGGTATGGTGGCGGGACCGCTGCCTGCTGAAGGGTGGGGGGGGGGGGAGGAGATGGGTGGAAACCGGAACAAGAAAACTCTGGCCCAAGACTTTAAACCAGCGCTAGCAACAGTCCTTTCAGACAACAGAAAGATCGTGGGGTGATGACCTTCACAACGGTGCTACTGTTGTAAACTCCAACTGTATTTTAGTTTGATCTACCTTCAGTAATATTACCTTTCACCCTACATGGGTTAACAAGGACATTACATCGAAACCACAGTCGATTAACAACAAAGAACGTCCAGAAAAAAACCAAAAATTGTCAAAAAAATAAATATATAATACTTCTTAAAGACTAAGTACCCTGTAAGAACGAAGCAATTACGGGTAATATAAAAAAAACTATAATAATAATAATTAATGCATTAATCTTATCGCAATATCAAAAACTCTGTCACTGTACAAAGCAGAAACACCAGAAAATCGTTTTATTATGGCAGAGAACGCCACAGTAAAACTAGACAACAGTGCAAGCTGAACAAGAGAGCTTCCCAGCATTGCAGACTGATATGCAGGAGAAGTTCTCGTGTCTAGCAAGCTGGCAGTATAACAGAGACCGCAAATGAGAAAAGAGACTGTGCCGAACCACAACTAAGAACTTTACGGAGTCGCAACTTGACAACAAACTAAGACGTTCACTGTGTCATAACCTGATAGCAATTGTGAAGTGTCAAGCTCCATGGCAATACAGGAAACACGAAAGAGTTACTGTTACCGTCAGTGAAGCTTGTTATGAGTTACATAGCAGTAGTGAGGTTTGCTGTGGGTGACACAGCAGCAGTGAAGCTTGCTGTGGGTGACCCAACAGCAGTGAAGCTTGCTGTGGGTGACACAGCAGTAGTGAAGCTTGCTGTGGGTGACCCAGCAGCAGTGAAGCTTGCTGTGGGTGACACAGCAGCAGTGAAGCTTGCTGTGGGTGACCCAACAGCAGTGAAGCTTGCTGTGGGTGACACAGCAGCAGTGAAGCTTGCTGTGGGTGACCCAGCAGCAGTGAAGCTTGCTGTGGGTGACCCAGCAGCAGTGAAGCTTGCTGTGGGTGAAACAGCAGCAGTGAAGCTTGCTGTGGGTGACACAGCAGTAGTGAAGCTTGCTGTGGGTGACCCAGCAGCAGTGAAGCTTGCTGTGGGTGACACAGCAGCAGTGAAGCTTGCTGTGGGTGACCCAGCAGCAGTGAAGCATGCTGTGGGTGACACAGCAGCAGTGAAGCTTGCTGTGGGTGACACAGCAGTAGTGAAGCTTGCTGTGGGTGACCCAGCAGCAGTGAAGCTTGCTGTGGGTGACACAGCAGCAGTGAAGCTTGCTGTGGGTGACACAGCTGCAGTGAAGCTTGCTGTGGGTGACCCAGCAGCAGTGAAGCTTGCTGTGGGTGACACAGCAGCAGTTAAGCTCGCTGTGGGGTGACACAGCAGCAGTGAAGCTTGCTGTGGGTGACACAGCAGCAGTGAAGCTTGCTGTGGGTGACCCAGCAGCAGTGAAGCTTGCTGTGGGTGACACAGCAGCACTGAAGCTTGCTGTGGGTGACACAGCAGCAGTGAAGCTTGCTGTGGGTGACCCAACAGCAGTGAAGCTTGCTGTGGGTGACCCAGCAGCAGTGAAGCTTGCTGTAGGTGACCCAGCAGCAGTGAAGCTTGCTGTGGGTGACACAGCAGCAGTTAAGCTCGCTGTGGGGTGACACAGCAGCAGTGAAGCTCGCTGTGGGTGACACAGCAGCAGTGAAGTTTGCTGTGGGTGACACAGCAGCAGTGAAGCTTGCTGTGGGTGACCCAGCAGCAGTGAAGCTTGCTGTGGGTGACACAGCAGCACTGAAGCTTGCTGTGGGTGACACAGCAGCAGTGAAGCTTGCTGTGGGTGACCCAACAGCAGTGAAGCTTGCTGTGGGTGACCCAGCAGCAGTGAAGCTTGCTGTGGGTGACACAGCAGCAGTGAAGCTTGCTGTGGGTGACCCAGCAGCAGTGAAGCTTGCTGTGGGTGACACAGCAGCAGTGAAGCTTGCTGTGGGTGACCCAGCAGCAGTGAAGCTTGCTGTGGGTGACACAGCAGCAGTGAAGCTTGCTGTGGGTGACACAGCAGCAGTGAAGCTTGCTGTGGGTGACCCAACAGCAGTGAAGCTTGCTGTGGGTGACCCAGCAGCAGTGAAGCTTGCTGTGGGTGACCCAGCAGCAGTGAACCTTGCTGTAGGTGACACAGCAGCAGTGAAGCTTGCTGTGGGTGACCCAACAGCAGTGAAGCTTGCTGTGGGTGACCCAGCAGCAGTGAAGCTTGCTGTGGGTGACCCAGCAGCAGTGAAGCTTGCTGTGGGTGACACAGCAGCAGTGAAGCTTGCTGTGGGTGACCCAGCAGCAGTGAAGCTTGCTGTGGGTGACCCAGCAGCAGTGAAGCTTGCTGTGGGTGACACAGCAGCAGTGAAGCTTGCTGTGGGTGACCCAGCAGCAGTGAAGCTTGCTGTGGGCGACCCAGCAGCAGTGAAGCTTGCAGTGGGGGACCCAGCAGCAGTGAAGCTTGCTGTGGGTGACCCAGCAGCAGTGAAGCTTGCTGTGGATGACACAGCAGCAGTGAAGCTTGCTGTGGGTGACCCAGCAGCAGTGAAGCTTGCTGTGGGTGACCCAGCAGCAGTGAAGCTTGCTGTGGGTGACCCAACAGCAGTGAAGCTTACCGTGGGTGACCCAGCAGCAGTGAAGCTTGCTGTGGGTGACCCAACAGCAGTGAAGCTTGCTGGGGGTGACACAGCAGCAGTGAAGCTTGCTGTGGGTGACCCAGCAGCAGTGAAGCTTGCTGTGGGTGACCCAACAGCAGTGAAGCTTGCTGTGGGTGACCCAGCAGTAGTGAAGCTTGCTGTGGGCGATACAGCAGCAGTGAAGCTTGCTGTGGGTGACACAACAGCAGTGAAGCTTACCGTGGGTGACCCAGCAGCAGTGAAGCTTGCTGTGGGCGATACAGCAGCAGTGAAGCTTGCTGTGGGTGACACAACAGCAGTGAAGCTTACCGTGGGTGACCCAGCAGCAGTGAAGCTTGCTGTGGGCGATACAGCAGCAGTGAAGCTTGCTGTGGGTGACACAACAGCAGTGAAGCTTACCGTGGGTGACCCAGCAGCAGTGAAGCTTGCTGTGGGCGATACAGCAGCAGTGAAGCTTGCTGTGGGTGACCTAACAGCAGTGAAGCTTACCGTGGGTGACCCAGCAGTAGTGAAGCTTGCTGTGGGTGACCCAGCAGCAGTGTAGCTTGCTGTGGGTGACACAGCAGCAGAGGCCATAGGTAGATGACAATCTCCCCCACACCCCACCCACCCCTCCTTCACAGGTGACTATGCAAATAACCGGAACAGGGTGTTATCTTGAGGTTATATTGAGATGATTTCGGGGCTTTAGTGTTGGGCAGCATCTGGCCCAGAACACTTCACATGTCAAAGACTCGATATTATGCTCAAACTGCAGTTTGGATGACATATATCTGTTATAAATGTATACATAATAAAACAAAATGTATATCAATATTTTTCCTATCGAAAATGTTGAGGAGATGCAAGGTCGGTGCATTTGACTCAGGAGGAAGTACAGGGTGTGGAGAATATGTAAGAAAATGAACTCCAAAACTGCTCAAACCCACGAAAGTGAGAGGATTACGATGACCTCTCGCTAGAGTCTGGAAGATGGGAAGAATAATAATGTTGTGTTAAAGTGAAGTGATTTACCACTTGAGCTTTTATAACGATTGCGTAAATGTTTGAAAGTGTGTTGTGTGTGTGTGTGTGTGTGTGTGTGTGTGTGTGTGTGTGTGTGTGCTTGCTTGCGTTTGTTTTTGCACTAATATCGACGACGGACATTGCGAAAGTCGGGCCCACATTGCTCTACAGAAACGTATAAACGAATATAAGTATTGTGTAAATATACAAGACTGAGAGACGTGAATGCCGTGAAGCGTTCTGCTACTGCCCAACTGTATGTAACTCTATTTTTTTTTTCATGTATGTCAAAGAACACAAAACTTGTGGATGCCCGAATAATTTCTCTATTGGCCAGTTTGTATGTATATATATATATATATATATATATATATATATATATATATATATATATATATATATATATATATATATATATATGTCGTACCTATTAGCCAGAACGCACTTCTCAGCCTACTATGCAAGGCCCGATTTGCCTAATAAGCCAACATTTCCTGAATTAATATATTTTCTCAAAATTTTTTCTTATGAAATGATAAAGCTACCCATTTCATTATGTATGAGGTCAATTTTTTTTATTGGAGTTAAAATTAACGTAGATATATGACCAAACCTAACCAACTCTACCTAACCTAACCTAACCTAACCTAACCTATCTTTATAGGTTAGGTTAGGTTCGGTAGCCGAAAAAGTTAGGTTAGGTTAGGTTAGGTAGGTTAGGTAGTCGAAAAAACATTATTTCATGAAAACTTGACTTATTACGCAAATCGGGCCTTGCATAGTAGGCTGAGAAGTGCGTTCTGGCTTCTAGGTACGACATATATATATATAAAACGTGTAAGAATGGAAGCTTAAGTAACTACTTATGTATTTTACGAAGGTGATGTGTGTGTGGCCAAATATATATATATAGTGTCGTCCCCCGCCTGTGGTATTATGGTACATGACAGAATTAGGGGCACTCGAGTGATGAAACTAGAATGTAGACATTTTTTGATATTACAGAATATAATTTGAAAAAAAAAAAAAATTCTAGTCATTTGCCGTTGAAAGCATAATTAAATATTAAACTGCTGTTGTTAAAAAAAAAGCTAGAAAAGCCTAAACCGTAAGCTTGTTTTTTTATACAGACTTGTGAGTGTGGTCGTTCAACTCGCTAGGATTCCGGTAATTTATGCATACATAGTCCTCCGAAAGGAGAAAAAAAAAATGTGGATTATATGCTCTAAATCAGGTGTAAATATGGGCTTATAATCATTTGTAAACTTGTCATTTCCTCAACGCTGTGTAACAGAGTGCCTAAACTAGAGACATTGTTGGCAATTAACAACATGTTTATTTTAGTCACTCTGTGTTTAATAACAGTCCTCGTCCCCGACCCTCCTCTTAACCCCCCATCCAATCCCTCAACTCTACCCTTCTCCTAGGTACTTAAATGTTTAAACGTGATACGATAATGGCAGAAGAAAAGTTTCGTTCAATGGGGATAGAGTCGTGTCAGTTTTAGGCCTTAAATTCGACTTGCAAGACGAAATAAATATATTTTTTTCTCTTAAATCCAATCAAAGTTAAATATTTCACAGATACTTTGGTCAAGGGAGCTGGCTTCTCTTGTTCTGGGAAAATTTAATCGCTGGCTGATTCCGAGTAATAAAAATCCGCACTCTCACTTTTGATTTAATTTGATCCTCTCGTGTGATGAGACTTTGCAATGCTTTTGTTGTGTGGCGGAGTCATGTCACGCCCTTCTTTACATAGGCCTATGCAGTCATGTTCCACGTATCTCCCACCAAGTTGTGAGGCTGTGCCAAGAGTTACAAGATAATATTAAACAGTGCTTTCTAAATCAGACGTTCAAGCGTTTTCTTTATCTATGCCAAACAATGGAGGAGTTCAAACGATTGCATGATTTATTGCATAGTGTTTGGAGAAGGTAGCAGCTAATAATGTTACTATTTTGTGCATGTTGCAGCTATAACACGCAGCTTAGGACACAAGGCATTATGACACATGGTTTATGACACATGGTTTAGGACACATGGTTATACATATATATATGCACATGACAAGTCATTAGCGTTGATGATGTTTACACAAATCAGCAGATTGTTTATTGGTTGGATAAATATTCAGGGAATGAGAGAAATTACTGCTCCGGAGCACTCCTGGACATGACAGCAAGTTAAAACTAGTCTCACACACCACCGAAACTGTCCCTCTCAATTGTATAAAAAGGAGTACATATCGCCTCGATTTCTTAATAATGACTAACATTTAAAAAAACAAGACAAAAACTGATAGAGACATTCCAATTAACGAAAATGTTCTCGGGACTATCCCGTTGCCATTATCACCCTGTTCTTCGTTGTTTCTATATCCCTCTCGCCACTAATCCTTCTCTCCCCCTCCCTTCCCTTTCGTCTCGTGTTCGTTATTTATTGTATACGTGTCGCAGGAGCTCTACAGGCTGGTGGTGTCCCCCCGCCCGGAGCCTGCTGCCCTACCCAACACTTGCTCACACAGATCCAAAAAATTCCGAGAGCTGATGACTTTGATGTCTGATTTGTCACTTCGAGATCTGATTTGCTACTTCGAGGACTGCTTTGCCACTTCGAGGTCTGATTTGCCACTTCAAGGACTGTTTTGCCACTTCGAGGTCTGTTTTGCCACTTCAAGGACTGTTTTGCCACTTCGAGGTCTGTTTTGCTACTTCGAGGTCTGATTTTCCACTTCGAGGTCTATTTTGCCACTTCGAGGTCTGATTTTCCACTTCGAGGTCTGTTTTGCCACTTCGAGGTCTATTTTGCCACTTCAAGGACTGCTTTGCCACTTCGAGGTCTGTTTTGCCACTTCGAGGTCTGTTTTGCCACTTCGAGGTCTATTTTGCCACTTCGAGGTCTGATTTTCCACTTCGAGGTCTATTTTGCCACTTCGAGGTCTGATTTTCCACTTCGAGGTCTGTTTTGCCACTTCGAGGTCTATTTTGCTACTTCGAAGTCTATTTTGCCACTTTGAGGTCTGATTTGCCACTTCGAGGTCTATTTTGCCACTTCGAGGTCTGTTTTGCCACTTCGAGGTATGTTTTGCCACTTCGAGGTCTGTTTTGCCACTTCGAGGTCTATTTTGCTACTTCGAGGTCTATTTTGCCACTTTGAGGTCTGATTTGCCACTTCGAGGTCTATTTTGCCACTTCGAGATCTATTTTGCCACTTCGAGGTCTATTTTGCTACTTCGAGGTATGTTTTGCCACTTCGAGGTCTGATTTGCCACTTCGAGGTCTGTTTTGCCACTTCGAGGTCTGTTTTGCCACTTCGACGGCCGTCAGCTTCTTCGATGAATTAAATATGTGTTCTGTCATTTCCTGCTTCTTCTTCTTCTTCTTCTTCGGCTTCAACAGCGATAAATTCGGGAATATGCTTCGTTGGTCGAGTAATCGGGTGAATAACTTTTGTCTTTAGGGTTTTGCTTTTTTAGCTAAGTTGCCGCCTTGATAACTTATTCGCTAACTTTCTTCATCAGCGACTTTCAGGTTCAGCTGCCGACTTCGTCAGTAACTAGAGGCTTCCATCTTCGTGGCTTACTTCCTCAATGGCTTACTTCTTGAGTGGTTTGCTTCTTTGGAAACTACTTAGTATGTGTATTTTTATAAATAATTTTCCTTCTCGGTAACTGTCAATCAAATAGATGTGTTTATTTCAGCGAATCTTGCAACATATTGCTACCGCGACTTGTGTGCGTACTTAGTTCCTTGTGTAGTGACGTCTACGGTATAATGTACCAAATGATTCGTCCTTTGTTTGCAAGAATGTGATGTTCAACAAACCTGTTCCTCTTCTAGTGCGCTTCCATGATATCGCCCGTTCCTCTTTCAGTTCGCCAATATGACCTCTCCCGTTGCAATGAAGTGAGAAGCTTTACTTTGTCATCCGCCATGTGAGACCTGTTTTTATCCTCAATCATCTCTACTACATGCGCTTTCTCATACATATTTAGCTTCGCATTCCGTCTGTGTATACCTTCCGTCTGATGTCACCGTCCATCTTCATACCTTGTGTCTGCCCCAACTTCCCGTCTAAATCTACCTTCCGTCTGTCGCTCGTAGTCAGATAGCGACTACTCTTCCGATGTGATCATCGCATTTCAAGGATCGTTCGACCTCCTGAATGAGCTCTGCAAGGCGTTTTCCTTCTCTAAGATTCTATTGCCTTGTTCCTTGGTGGTTTCTTCAGCGCTTCTCTTCTGATGTTTGGGCTTATCAATCTCTTGCATTTCTTTCATCAAGTCTGAAGCTCATGGACGTAGTTATGTAAATAATGTAAATAAAAGTTAGATTACTTCCCCCCTCCTTCCCTCTCACGCCACTTTACCCCTCTTTTCATTTTTCCTGTATCCACCCCCTGTTCCCCCTCAACCTTCCATTATTGTTAATCATATCCTTTTCATACCATTTTCCTCTTTCCAGTCTCGGCTTATATATATATATATATATATATATATATATATATATATATATATATATATATATATATATATATATAT